GCATCGATCGGCTTCAGTTAGCAGCAGTAGCGAAGGAATCGCTCCATCGGGTTTAATTAACAGTCATCGGTCGATCGCTCGGGTTCAGTAACGCGTAGCCTGCAGTGCAATCGCTCGGGTTCAGTTAGAGCCCAACACCTCGCTCGGCTTCAGTTAGAGCCAACGCCTCGCACACACGCGTATACGTACGATAGAAACGCGCATCGCTCCAACCCCGACCTCCCACCTTAACCAGCAACTCCCCGAAATTTTCCTCCCCCTAGCTTCTACCACGGTTTTTTCCGTCATGGACGACCCAAAGAATGTCATGCAGCTGCGTCTCCGGCCCGCCCAGGACGAAAAGCCCATTTTCTGTCATGATTTTTTGTCATAGAAGTAGGAGCCCACCACATCTATGACGATATCGGGTTTTGTCATAATTATCATCATAGAAGTGTCATATGTATGACAGAAAAAAATTCGTTCGCCCAAAATGTCACGGATGTGTCTTTTTTTTGTAGTGCAACCCGACGCAAGCAAGGCTTCCCCAACAAGCCGACCCCACCCGTGGCGTGCACCGCAATCCAGCCACGGGTCAGCTCCCGTCCCATCCAGGCCATACGATGGGACGAGACTTCAATCACCGATGACCAAGACAACAGTGCCTCCACCAATGCCTATGGTCAGCCGGAGCGTGGCAACAGTGCCCCTCACCTACCCGCTGACCAGGACTGGCGTGGCAACAGTGCTCCCGCCCTCGCCGCTGACAGCAGCAAGCGGCGACCTGACAGGGCATCACTGTACACGACTCAACTCGGCCTTACCCTGACGATCGACAAGACGGCGCACGGTCCCCCTAGGCATGCGGGGCCCGCACCTAGGGGAACCCGGCGAACCACAAGCCCCCGGCGGGGCCCAGCCCGGGTTCCCGGACGTCGACAACTCGAACCCACCAACTTGAAATATTACCATTGTAACCCTGGGGGTTGGTCTATAAAGCCCCCAGAAGCCCACGCATACAGGGGCATGTGGTATGTGATATATGTAGAGAACAGGAACAAATAAGCAACTTGCCACCAAAACAGCCACCCCAGAGAGAAGGGGCAGCCTAAGCCTTGGTCAGCTCCCTTCCTCTCCCATACAGCTCCAGGAGCAACACTGTACTATCGAACATCAAACTACACTCGCAGGACTAAGGGTAGTATCTCTCCGAAGAGCCCCAAACCTGGGTATGTCCGGTGTCCCGCGCCCGCTCATGCCAACCCCGCCTCTGGAGCCCACCAGTGCCCTCGAGCCTCCTCCTCTCTTTAGCCATTCCTTGGCATCTGCCGTGCGGCCACCACAACAAGGTAGGTGGCCGTCTGCCACGCGGCCCCAACGCGGACGAGACACACGTCTGTTTGTTATCCGTTGCGACCCAAATCCGGCCCAAGTTTGCGCTCGAAATGGGTTGGCTCGGACACAAAACGGACAGGATGGGTTCAGACCGTCGCGCGCTGGGCCGACTCGTTTGTCCCTTTTACCCCAAACGGACGGGGCCGGACAAGATGTGGTCGCGCGGTGGAGTTGGCCTCCCGCGAGTTGTCCGTTTGTCCCTTTGTCCCTTTTATCATGATCACGCATGTACACACCCGCGAGTTGCCGTGTGATTTTACTTGCGTGCGACGGGCTACACCTACCACTGTAGCCTGCTGCCTGCCACCGCAGTAGCCTGCCCGCGTCGCCGAGCGGCCACGGAGAACCCGTACGTCGTCCTTTCCCAATGTATTTTAACGCGCGTACCGCGCTGTTCACCCTGCCTCGCGCGCGCCCGTACGTCTGGTCACGACCAACACACACGTTACGGAATTTCACCGCGTACGCTCGACGGTTTCTTAAGAACCTCCCGTTTCCGACGCCCGAGAAATTCTTGAACAGCATGTGTAAAACCTACAGAGGAGTCGTCAAATTTGTGCGCGCGAGTGCGACGTTGGTCTCTCGTCGGAAGGCTTGTGCCGAGGCCACCGTGCCGCCCGGACCACGGACGCAGACCCGCCCGATCCTGTGGCCACGACTCCCGCGAGTCATACTGGTCGCCACGGCGGCTGGGCGCGTTGCCGTCCAAGGAAACAGTGGCTTGCACGCCAGAAAGAAAGAGCCGCCGGAGCCACACTTGTCTCCGCTTCCTTCCGGCTGAGCCCTGCCGGCGACGCGAGGAGCGCAGATAGAAAACCGAGGCAGGCGGTGTTGATGCCGATGGATCGACTAACATGGACGGCGACGCCAATTAATTTGGCCGCAAGAGACTAGCCACAGATGTAATGGATCATACGCACTTTCTTCTTTCATAATATTTTCATAATATAAGAACGTTTTTTACGCTAGGTTAGTGTTAAAAATGGTCATCTATTATAGGACAGAGGAAGCTTCAAAAAAAATTTATTGGACAGAGGAGTAGTTCATACTAGATGCAGCAGTGACAGATGGACATCGGATGATGGACAGATGCGATCGTGTCTGTTCTGCTACAGAGAAGTGAGCGCCGCTGTACACGCTGGAACAGTTCTTGGGTGATCGATGCGGGAGCACTGTTACGGAGTGATTAAAGGGAAAGCCTGGCCTTCGTCGTGATGGAGCGATGATGAGGGGATGGGCCTGGCTCTGCATGGACCCGTGGTGTTCGTTCATCTGGGGCTGGCTCTGGCTGGGCCGGCACTGCAGATGCAGACAAAGTGTTCTTGTGCTCGTGAGCTCAAATGCATCCGTGATGAACATTACAATTTAAAAACTACTCCCTCCATCTCAAAATAAGTGTCTCAACTTTATACTAGCTCTAGTATAAATTTGTACTAAGCTCAAGACACTTATTTTGGGACTGCGAGAGTAGTAAAATATAAAACAAATCTGGTTTTTTGGCAATAAACATTGACAAATTATCTATATACATGCAAATTTTCATGAAGAAAAAGTATTCCTATGCTATGGAAAAAACATTAGAGTTAATTATTAACCCAAAAAAGTTAATTAGATAAATGCCACTACAATTCTGGCGATTCAGAAAAATGCCACTGCAATTTTAAAACTCCGAAAAATGCCTCTCCCATATGTTTTACTTAGTGCGTTGAAGTGGCATTTTTCGGAGATTGTAAATTGCAGTGGTAATTTTCTGAATCGACAGAATTAGAGTGACATTTATCTAATTAACCCAAAAAATTAATGCTCCAAAATTCTTTAAGAAAGTCTTTTTTGAGCATTTTTCTGCCCAAAACATTTAGGAATGTTTTCTCACGGAAATTGGTATGGATGTAGACAACTCTTCAGGTTCCGCTTGGATTATCGTTTGGCCCCTGAATACCCCCGTAAAATGATACGCACCTCTAGGCGTCATTTTTTTTCCAGTCAGAAGTCACGCTGTGGCCGGTATTATACGCATCTAAACTTAATCGGGTCGTACAATCTATACCGATTCCAAGCGGGCCTTCATTGTTTGTTGCCAAAACAAATCAGAACTTTCTAATTTATTTACCTTTTTTCATTTTGCTGTTCATGAAGGAGTGTTTGACCTCGCGAGCAGTCCACTTATAATTTATATTTGTTGTCACGACATACATATCATATCACAAATTCGCCTTACAAAAAAGTCAAAGCACAAAGTTGGAATTTTTTTTGAATTTTTTTATTTTGTTTAGCAAAAAGTTATGTGAACAGGAGGGATGGTAGTGCCTCTACTTTATTTTAGACAAGAGAATTCGTTAGGCCGTGCTTAAAAATGCCCATCGCTTTTGTATTTAAAACATTATTTAGTTACTGTTGGAATACAATAATATGTCTATATTTTCATTAAAATTCTAGGTTGGGCCGAGCTTAAAAACTCCCAACCTTTTATGTTTGAAACGTAATTTAGTAATTGTTGGAGTATATTAATATGTCTATATTTCATTCCCCTAAAAAAATGTCTATATTTTCATTAAGATTCTTGGTTGGGCCTTTGGACCGAAAAGCCATATCATGAGCCTTTGGCCATCCTGTCCCAAACCCTAGAATGTCATCAATGCAATTCTCGGTCGCCTCCCCCGCCTCAACCCACCTTCTTCCGCACCCTTGTCTCCCTTAGATGGCGATTGGTTTAGCTAAATTTAGGATGAAAAGCATATGGGTGTGGCTAGATCTCAGTTGATTGGTTTAGCTAAATTTCACCCCAACTGGCATCAATATATGATGTTTTGCTTTTTCTTTTTTTTTCTTTGTTGCGTTTTCTACTTCTTTTTCTTCTTTCACGCATGTCCAACAAGGGACGTGCAACTGTAGGTGTGGGACTAATGAGATATGTGTAACTATAGTTGCGGGGCTGACCGAGATATGCAATTGTAGTTGCGCCCGGCCGATAAGGATATGCAAATGTAGTTGGGTGCCAGCAGCTGTACTTGAGTGGAAAAGAGCAAAACTGGAACACAAAATGTATTAAAAACAGCGTAAAAGGTGCACTATGAAATGATAAAATGTGGGTAATGAAAAAAATCCGAAAGAATATCCACACAACTGACGAGTGTAATGTTAATCAAAATTTAACTAATTCAAACAATTAAGAATTAGCAAATCCAAGAGGAAAAGAATGCCATATTCAGGCGCAAGGATGTATTGTATTACTTTTTCTCTCAAAAAAGACCATATCTATTATAAATGTATTCACCAAGAGTACAAGGCACCTCAAACATGGACGTTTATCTCAATAGAGTGCTGATTTGGCCGTAAATGTTATGGTCACTTCCTGATAGGTCGCTCTTTGTTTGGTCATTCACGTACTCTGTCCGTGGAATAATTTTGAACTTGTCGCATAATGTCAAATTCGTCCCGGATGCGTGTGAAACTCACTCGCCAGTTTGGACACAGGTAACTCGCCAGAAGCTCTCGGGAGTCTCACGTACGTGTAACGTAGCGGGAAGCAAAGAGTCGTGTGCCTGCATGCAAACCCACGAGGCCTCTACAGATTTTTTATCCGGGGCGTCGAGCGGGCGAGCTCTGTGCGCCAACCAAACCACCACCACCACCACAGACCAGACCAGACATGACGCCTCCTCCGCCTCCCACCACCGCGCTGCCACGCCCCTCCCTCCTCCTCGCGGTCTCCTCCGCCGCGCTCAAGATCTCGTCCGCGGCGGCGACGAGCCCAGCGCGCGGCGTGCGGTGGCAGGGGGCGGCGATCGACGGGAGGAGGGGGAGTGAGAGGCGCCGGGCCGTCGGGAGGTGCTGGGCGGCGGCGGTGGAGGAGGAGGCCGGCGTGCTGCTCCCCAAGGAGGGGGAGGGGAGCGAGGCGGCCGGGAGGTACGACTGGCGGGAGGAGTGGTACCCGCTGTACCTGTCCAAGGAGGTGCCCGACGACGCGGCGCTCCCGCTCACCGTCTTCGACCGCCAGCTCGTGCTCTACCGCGACGCCGACGGCGTGCTCCGCTGCCACGAGGACCGATGCCCGCACAGGTATCCATCACCTGCGCTGCGCCTGCCATGCCAGCCATCATCATCAATCTGCCTGTATGCTCTAACTGACTGACTCACATGATCCAAACATGGCCGATGGGTCTGCAGGTTAGCCAAGCTGTCAGAAGGGCAGCTCGTCGACGGCAAGCTGGAGTGCCTCTACCATGGCTGGCAGTTCGACGGCCAGGGCAAGTGCGTCAAGATCCCACAGGTTTGAATCAATTCCATTCTTGGATCAGTGCAAACGCATGAGAAAATCAAATACTTATTCATGTGATGATGGTGGCAACTGATGCGCACGCAGCTGCCTGAGGGCGCCAAGATCCCGCGGAACGCGTGCGCGCGCAACTACGAGGTGCGGGACTCGCAGGGGGTGGTGTGGGTGTGGATGTCGCCGGCGACCCCGGCGGACGCCAAGAAGCTGCCGTGGTTCGAGCCGTACGCGCGGCCGGGGTTCACGGACCTGTCCACGGTGCACGAGCTGCCCTACGACCACTCCATCCTGCTGGAGAACCTCATGGACCCGGCGCACGTGCCCATCTCGCACGACCGCACCGACTGGACGGCCAAGCGGGAGGACGCGCAGCCGCTGGCCTTCGAGGTCGCCGAGCGCACCGCCCGGGGCTTCGCCGGCCACTGGTGGCGCGAGCGCGCGCCGCACCTCCGCAACCTGCTCCGCTTCGAGGCGCCCTGCGTGCTCACCAACACGCTCGAGTTCGTGGACAAGGACGGCAAGGAGCAGTGCTTCTCGGCGCAGTTCCTCTGCCGGCCGGCGGGGCAGGGCAAGTCGATGCTGCTCGTCCGGTTCGGGTCGACGGCGAGTTCGCCGCTGCTGAGGGTGCTGCCGAAATGGTACTTCCACCAGAACGCGTGCAAGGTGTTCGAGCAGGACATGGGGTTCCTGTCGTCGCAGAACGAGGTGCTGCTCCGGGAGAAGGTGCCCACCAAGGAGCTCTACCTCAACCTCCGGTCGTCAGACACGTGGGTCGCCGAGTACCGGCGGTGGATGGACAGGGCCGGCCACGGCATGCCATACTACTTCGGCCACAGCACCATCTCGCCGCCGCCCGTGCCGGCCGTGGTCGAGCAGGCGCCGGCGGGGGCCGCCGCGGGCATCTCCGCGTCGTTCCCGGCCAAGGGCGGCTTTGGCACGCAGCACGCGCCCAACCCGACCAACAGGTACTTCCGGCACGTCGTGCACTGCAAGGGGTGCAGGGACAGTGTCAACAGGTACACCGCCCTGAAGAAGGCCTTCGTCGTGCTCGCCGCGGTGGTTGCCGCCGCGGCAGTCTTGGCGGCGACGAGGCAGTGGAAGGCCGTCTTGCTGGGCGCCGCCGCCGTGCTCGCCGCGGCGTCGTATGCGTGTGGCTCCGTGGTTTCTTTGATCACAACCAACTTCATTAGGACACACAGAAGATTGTAAATAAGCATAATTAGAGGCCGGGATAAGATCATACTGTCGGCGCATTTTAATTTAGTCAGCTAGAAACACTTCTCTGTTTTTACCCTTGTTTATATATCTATATAAGCATCATTTTGCCATCCGAAGTTGCATGGCAAGACAAGTTCATAAGCCGAGACTGAATTTTTAACTTCTCAAGAAACACTATCTTCCACGTTTATATGTAAAAAAAGATAGCTATGCAATCAAAGAAATAGAGCAGAGTCTGTTCAGAAATACCAAAATTATGAAAATAACATACAGCACATGCATTTCATTCATACACAGGATTGTAGAACGCAACACACCAATGTACTACGTACCTCCATTCCTAAATATTAGACGTTCAGGCAATTTAATTTTAAACTGCCCAAACGTCTTATATTTAGGAAAGGGGAAAGTAACAGAGAATGATCAACTTCAATATATATACAACCAAAGAGCGTATCTTCACTGTTGAAATACTGGCAACAATGCCTTAGGTCACACATTATGCAAACCAGACTCAACAACGTCACACAAACACCAGCTCCTTGCCATGGGTTTGCTCACACAATATTACAGACCAGATACAGATAGTCAGCTTAGCTATCATCACAGCCGAAACACGTTCGATACGATAAGTAGGTGCTCCAAACGGATGATGCACTCTTAGCAGGTAACCAGGTCGATCTAGAACTCCCTGTCTGGGAACAGGAGGGGAGCAACGAGGGACCAGATGAACAGACCTGCCGTTGCCCACTGGGTCGCGATCCTGACCCAGACAGACGGCCACCCGACATCGACAAGCTTACCGCTCTCGCCAACCGAGGTCGACCAGCCAGTCAGGAGCATCGCTGAGTACATGCTCGCCAGGGAGAAGATGAGGTGGAAGAATGAGTAGGAGTACGTCACCGGCTTTGGCACGTCCTTAGTCTCCTCCTCGTCCGCCTTGCTGAAGGGCAGCAGTGGCTTGTCGGCACCTGAAGGAAACAACAGCGAATTTAGCAAGTTGCACACACACTACATAATTAATTAATTCAGTGGCCAGAGAACAAAATCCTACCGGCGCGTGGTGAGTCTGGTGCTGAGAGCACGGTTGCAGAAGAGCCAGCACGAACAGCAGAGTAGACCACAGAAAGGATGGTGGTACATAATCCCAACGTAAGGCTACCAGTTGACATAGCTTTGGAGTGATTGTGAAGCCCGTTGCACTCATAATCCCTTGGCTCACTGGAGAGTCCGCTGTAGCACAAGTATGTGCAGTAAAGGCCTATAACTGATGCAGGCAGCAAGCTTCCATTGACCTGCCCAACCATAAACCCCCAAATTAATCCTTCTTATAAACCAAAATACTATCACAGCACATGTAAAATAAACTAATAGCATCGAAATCTAAGGAGCAGATCTTCATAGCAATTATCATAATGAACAAAGACAATCATGTGATTTTCATGGCATAGCAGTGAGCAAAAACATTATGGATCAACCAAACATGACACTAACAAAAGCTAAGTTGTAGTAGAATGTGAAAAGAAGAATACCTTTGGGTGCAGCGCAACAATAGCAAATACAAAAACAAGAATCAGTGTGGAGACAATGAAGAACATATTGAGTCCGCAGTCCTGTCCCGATGGAGTGAACCAGTGAAAGAGTAGACCCGAGAAAGCGAATGAGCCAATATAACAAACAACCGAGACAACCAACAGAGCCATGTACCTACATTGATGAAGAGTAAGTAAAAATATATTTTGAACAGAACTAAGATGCATTCCTTAAACCAATGGGAACACAGCTAACTGAAGGACGAAGACAAGGTACCCACCAGAACTGTTCATCTTTAGCAACCCAGTTCTCATTCCATCCGTGCACGAAGTCCAACAGAAGAACAACCTGAACGAGAAGGAACAGTCCAGATCCAAACTTGGAAATCGATTCTGCAGAAATATACAACTACAGTAAGCACCACCTTCAGTAAAATAAAGTATTATAATGATGATAATGCAGTTTCCAGTAAAGCAAATAGCATAATACTAGTCCAAAACGTATCGACAGTTTCAATTGGCAAGAGTATTGCCGATTGTTTATGAGTTCTATATTGCCTAAAGAAAGAGTATAGAAACGAACAGCTAGATTAAACCATAAGACAGCAAAAGGGTATCAGTTTTTTCAAAAAATATTAAATAAAACCTCCAGTACAATCCCAAATTCCTATTCAGGTTTTATTAAACAAGCAAATAAGCAAAGATAGACAGCAAGAGTTGATGTCTCTGATAGCAGGAGCAAATTTTAATCCAAATCTAACCAGCTCAAATTTAGTTAAGTCAAGGGAGACAGAAAATATTAGTAAGAACAGCCTTGCAACGCAGACTCCATACAACGATAACCACGACTGACAGCGCCAACATTCCTTTACACCTTTCTAGAATGTCTAGCCAACAGGTCAATCACATTTTGACTAATTTCCATATCCGTGTATTCACAATTGTTTAGCCTTTCTTTATGCCATCATTAACAGGATCCTAGTATATATATCTTGATAACACAGAATCGACGTACCCACATTTGTTTTGCATATTAGTTATTCTACATTACCATCTACTCCCTCCGTCCCATAATATAAGAGCGTTTTTGACACTTATATTATGGGACGGAGGGAGTATTCTTTTGATTCAGTGATCCCCATCTTATGATATTGTTTGGTTCAAGCGGTGCCCAGACGAGCCTTTTCCATTCATTTCCTAGTGCACGGTAGAATCAAAAGTGCAAAACAAAACAGTCACCCCCCTGAAGAAACCTTTCCGGGAGTTTTGAGGGAAGGGGCAACCAATATCTCCTATGATGATTTTATTATTTTTAAGTGTAAGCCTTGTCGTTCATTTAGGCGATTAGTGGTTTCATTCAACCAAATGTTACACATCCTAGTCTCTCCACGATTATGTTGACCATGTGCGGCAGATATGAGGCGGGCTATACTGCAACCAGCTGCGTGCGTGGTGGGGAAAGGGTTCTCTCACCGTAGAAGCTGACGACCCCGTTGGGGACGAAGAACATGAGGAAGACGATGACGACCCAGCAGAAGATCTTGGCCATCCACCCGCCGTGGTGGACCTTGTCGCGCGGGTCCTTCTGGTCCTTGATGCCGGCCATGATGGCGGCGAGGATGGTGAAGAAGAGGAAGTTGCCGAGGCTGACCCTGAGCACGGCGTCCGTCTCGAACCACTCGCGGTCCGGCGTCTTGTGGAAGTGGTTGATCCCTGCAACGGAGGAGCGTCACCGGTCAGATCGAGCGGAAACGAATTCGGGGTTAGGTTAGGTTAGGGTAAGGGCGAGGGGGCGGGGCGTACATGGGATGGACTGGAGGAGCGGCGCGGCGACCTCGCGGAGCACCCAGGAGGCGAGGAGGGAGAGCGCGAAGAGGCCGCAGTAGGCGATCCGCGCGGAGCGGCGGCCGATGCTGCCGACGGCGGTGCGGCACGCCTCGCAGGCGCACGCGGCGCAGCAGGACGCCAGGCACGACGCGGCCCACATGGCGGCGGCGATCCTCTTCTCCGGCGGCGATCGGTCGGGGGCCGAA